ATTGGATTGGTGGTCTTGACCAATCGCCATGCTATCGTGTATCTGACCTACCTCTGAAAAATGGTCAGCTATCAAATACAGATAACGACACCTGGTGGGGAATTTACGAGAACGCTGGAGGAGGTATGCCACAGCTGCAGCTGTTAACACGCGAGAAATTAAAATTTTTAAAAGCAGAGTAAGTGGTCCACAGAGAAAATGCTTGAGATTCACAGGTTTTTACTTTATATTTTCAATATTACTAGTTTGTTTGGTAAGAACAGGCTAAGATTCGTTTATTTTTTTGATTACGTTTATGCAGCATGTTAAAAACAGTCAGATAAGTTTTAATCATCAACGCTTAATTTCATCTACTACAAACATTATTTTGTAGATACCTATGTTTAAGTAGACACCTTGTTTCGTTTACTTTAACAGCGTGAATTGCAGCTGCCAGTATTCGAAAGGCTTGATAAAGAAAAAGTGCTCCCAACAGATTTCAAACCTGTGTGCTCCTTTGTAGAATAAGTCAGCGCCTGATCTAGCAAGCTTCATACCACTTGACCATAGGGAGCAACCCGACGCAGTGGTCTATAGCACCCGGGATGAAATGGTAGTTTCTCTTACAAAGGGATTGCAGTTTCGAAACATGCCAGAGAGCACTTTTTTTTCTTTTTCTTTAAATCCTCTTCTTTTATTGTCCGGTTTTTTAACAATAAACTATATGAACATCATCTGACAATAAAAAGGGAGAATATAGAGCCATTAGCTGATTGCAGAAAAGACATGGTGCTCAACAGAATAAGAATTGGACACGCACACATGCTCAAGGCAGAAACTATGCCTCAGTGAACCCAGTGCAATCAATTTCTCACTATCAGACATTTCTTGATAGCATGTAGGAAGTACAAAAGTACATGTAGCAACTATTACCAAGCACAAAATATCTTAACCTGCTCTTCAAAAATGTACCTACGGCCCAATCGTCCTGGTTAAGACGATAAACTACATCCGCGTCCTGGGTAAGACGATAAACTACATCCGACAGCAAGGCCTATCATCAGGAGGTTTTGAGATGCGTTGAATCACTTCTTAATTGCTGGTATCCCCAGGTTAGGCCTTGTTAGGGCCCCAGCTATGGGCAAATAGCTAACTCACAAACTAAGGTCAAAAAACTGTGAAAGTATAAAAAATAGTTTTAGTATTAGCAATACATTTTTGTAAAAGTCATTAGTAGCAGCAATTAATTTTTGAAGGAAATAATATTATCAGCAATCCATTTTTGAAAGAAATATTATCAGCAATAAAAAATCTTGTCGGCATTAAATAACCCATTGAGGTGTTGATATGCCGTAAAACTAAACAAAACAAAACAAAACAAACAGACCTACTGCCCAAATAATAGGATATCTGAAAAAAAAAGAAAATACACTATTTACATTATTCAGACTATTGTCCTCATCTTTGTCGCCATATCTATTACAACGTTTCCAGCCTTCTTCAGATGGTTGGAATGTCGAACTGAACCTTTATTTCGCTCACTGGGGTAGACTGTTCTAGTTCCACGTGCCATGTTTAATGGATGTCAGTTATCAGTTATCTCCTGTTAATTCCAATCTCCAAGTTCTCCACTGCCTTAACTACTGTGCCATGTGTCCTGCACAGTGGATAAAGGCGTTGGTTAGATCTAGTGACAGGACCCAAAGAGTGTGAGTTCAATACCCGGTTAAGACAGTGGAGAACTTTCAGAGGGAAATTAACAGGAGATAACTGACAACTGACATCCATTAGATATGGCACGTGGAACTAGAACAGTCTACCCCAGTGAGCGAAATAAAGGGTTCAGTTCGACATTCCAACCATCTGAAGAAGGCCGAAGCGTACAAGGGCCGAAACGTTGTAATAAATATGGCGACAAAGATGAGGACAATAGTCCGAATAATGTAAATAGTGTACATAATACCTCATCTCAGAAATATAGACAAAAAATAATACTTCCAAATTCTATAGAAAATAGAGCAAGCAGGCAGAACCATACAACTTATGTTTTAAAATACTCCTGAACTATATAACTTAAATAAATAATATTTTGAAAACAATTTTAAACCCTCAAAACCACTATTCATCTGTCTATTGGATTCTTTACCGTAAAATCCAGTCACTTGTACATTTAATCCTAAGTCTGTTAAAAGAGTTGCATTTTTATTTTCAGTTAGTTTCTTTTATCATTTCTCCCCAAGCAAGGCAATAAAGCCACTAAACTGCAAGGGTTTACTTAGTGTAGAAGAATATGAGAAAAAAACACTATTAAGGAGAGGGAACAATAAAAGAACAATCATTTTGAATACAGAAGATTGCGATTGACATTATATTTTGAAGATCAAAGTTGACTTAGAAGCAAGAAGACGGAAGAGAATGCCACAAGCGAAAAACGCGCGATTGGAGACACTATTAACATAGAATGATGAAACCTTGCCACTAATCTAGTACTGCGCTTAAATTTATAAGGTCTAGGTACCACAGGGGAAAGTTCATTAGAACAATTACCATGAAAGTATTTATAGAAAGAGGCACATGCAATCTACATTACTGTGGTGGGAAAGTGACTGAAGTCAAGATACCAGGTCAAAAACAATAAGATTGCAGATTCGTGTTTGGATTTTATCAAGAATATCTAAATATGGAGTAGGTGCACCAGCCCAGATATAGCAGCAATATTCAAAGCAAGGGCGAATGGTAGACTTAGTAAGAGATTCTGGCGAGAAAAATTATCTAGAACGACAAACCAACCTTCCTAGCAACAAACCTACCAATCGATTCAATATAATTTTTCCACTTCGCGTCAGTGGGAAACCTTAGTCTGTGAAGGTGCAATGAGTCTCTCTCCTGGAGGTTAACGTCAGCCATTCTGCCAGAAGACAAAAATCTTCCCCTCGGACGATTAAAAGAGAACAGTTTCGTTTTAGAGGCGATAAATTAACAAGCTATTCCTTGCCCCAATTAACAACAGATTGTGTGTCATCTTTTAGATCAGATCCCAATTTGACCTTATCGAACCGATAAGACTTACTATTTATTTCATTATTCATTATGCCTCTTAATTCCTTGGGGAACAAAAGGCCACAACAACACCACTCCGACGGAGGCGGTAACGGCCGATCCTTTTCAGGTCAGCTTAAGTCGTGCTGGCTGCCTTCTCCACTTTGGAGGACTATTCCTCAGCCATGTCTTTGTTTGAAGACATTGTTGAGGTTTCTGTAATTTTTAAGTGAGTAGGTTGTTAGCCTACTGCACAACCCTCAACCTGGAGGACCAAGGCGTGTCTTTCATCAGCATAGAAACCGATTTGAGAACTGATGACATCAGGAAGCTCGTTGATTGAAATTTACAGTTTGTAATTACGTAGGAACGTTTTAAATACAATTATATAGAAACGACATAAATATTTTAAGTACAATTAAATCATCATCATAATAATAATAACGGACAACTAGTTTCCAAGCACACCTGTTTACAAGGATTACATACCAATCCCTATTGCAGTCGCCTACTCAACAACATTTGTGCGTATTCATCAGCCACATGGCGTACAACTCTGTTGAGCGGACTTTAGTTACAGTTTCTGGGAGATATCGTATAATATGGAGCGATCAGCAGCTTGAACAAGGCCAGTAGACTCAAATCTTCGTCCACGATGACTTGTGACATTGTGCTCGCACAATCATCGAAGGTTTCAGGTCTTATAGCCAATTTTATCTACACGGTTTGAATCAATTCGTGGTATGTTTTCAGGCTCTTGTCAACGGAGGGATTGCCTCCCTAAACTGATAAAATCAAGAATTCACCTTCCCGACAAATCGACTATGTTGAGATTCGAACCGTAGTCTCGTGGTCGGATAGCTAACGTTCTAACCACTCGTCTACATGATTAAACGCACTTAGCTACAGATTATTAAGTACAATTAAATGCAGCTTATTTTCAACGATCTGATAATTTTCTTTTCAACTTACTTCTTGTGATTTTTGATTTCTTAAGTTCTTCAAAAGCAGATTTAGCACTTGTGGGATTCTAAAGGAAGTTCTCAGTATATCAGGTACGCATCAACTTTCATCGGAGATGGACTTACCCCCGGGCTGGACGGGACGCACTCGTGTGACATCGTTCTCTTCTGTGACTAAACTGGCGTCCCGGTGAGAAACAGGAACTGTATTGAAAGACGAGAGTGTTGATAGAGTTTCTTAACTGCTTACTGCCGAAATCGAGTTTAAAGTATCCTTAGGAACCAAATCTTCAGTTCAGAGTACACAGTGTGGGTAGCGGAAATAATAAATTCCATGAATCCGTCGTCTCTAGTGTTTGATCTCATTAAATAGAGATAGAAAATAAAAACAGCAAAAAGGTTCTGACAAAGTCTTGTGTATTGTTATTTGATTTTTGATGTTTTCTTTTATTTATTCCTTCCCTTAAAAGTTTATTTCGGAGGATTTATTTTATTTTCTAAATTCTGTTTTTATTGATTTATTTAAAAAAAATCAATAAAGTGCACTTCGATTTTTCATTCGCTTTGTCTTTAATAAAATATGTAAAATCGCTTCTCCAAAGACTTGTAGAGAATTGGTGCAACTGTTAAGAGAAAAATGTACGATTTTAAAATCTTCTCAAGTGCAAAAAATACATAAATTTGAAGAAACAAAAAAGGTGACTGTGAATTGATTTTTTTTTAAATAAAAGAAAATACACATCATTTATACTCTAGAAACCCAAAATGGAAAACTATAATTATTGTTGGTTCCAATCAGCAGTGGGAATGGCGGCAAAATTATTTTCCCTTTCCCAAATTATAGGCAGAAGCAAACATGCTGCGATTTTTTTTTCCTAGCTAATAAAATATGCTAGTTCTTGGTTTCATCTGACTTAGTCCTAGTCTGTCTTGTCTTGAAGTCAAAACTCTACGTTCGCTTATCCGAAGTTGTTCCTGTGTATCAACTCCAATTGCTAGTTTCTGAACTTTCTCTTATATTACTGTTGATTTGCCTTGCTTATATTGCTTGCTTTATATTATTATTTTTCTTTTTCCTTGTTATTGCTTATTGTAAACTTTGTCAATTTTGTTCGTTGGGCAGTTCTGCCATTTATTTACATTTAACGATGACCACTCACTCCGTTGTGTCATGATTTTAACTATAAACTCATAAACAACACTATGTTAAAGGCTTTAGATAGATAGATAGATAGATAGATAGATAGATAGATAGATAGATAGATAGATAGATCTTGATGTACGATATGTTTGATTGAGTTCCTTGTTTCTTATATAATAAAACAAAATGCATTACTTTTTGACTCAACCTTGTTGTTATTTTTACACCACAAAATTATTACATTCGTCTTATGTTATTTGTATTTTTTTAACGATAAAAATGATAAAACGGAACATTTTTTTATACCGTCTTTCTATTGATACTGGTCTGCTGATAAGAGCTTTTGTTTAATAATATATATATATATATATATATATATATATATATATATATATATATATATATATATATATAGTTATTTTTTAGATCTCAAATGTTTATATTCTTCCTATTTAATCCGTATTTGTTTATTTATAACGAAAACTATAAAATGAGACGTTTTTTGTTACTGTCTTTCTCTTGATGTTACCCTGACACATCTGTTAAAAAATTATATGTTCGCCTCAACTTTTTGCATTAAACCTATGTAACTTGTATTTGTCTCTGCAACGAAGATAATAAGACGTGGTCTATTTGAAACTGTATTTCTTAATATTGCCCTGCCGACGAATGTTTCTGTTAATAAAAAAAAATACATAATAATTTTTACCGTCAAATTTTTTCATTTGTCGTATATAAATTGTATTTTTCTATAATATAATCGCCGAGTATACGTTTTCTACAATATAATATAACCTTTTTTTTTTTTTAAGCGTTTCACCCCAAACAAGGCGGGAAGCCACTAGGACGCAAGGGGTTACAGAAGATTTGGAGCAAGATCAGATAGGAGTGATAAAGGAAAGGATGGGGAGAAGGATAGTGGATAGATCAAGACAACTAGAGATGTCGATAGACATTACATTCGAATAGTTGGAGATTATAGCTCTCAGGGAAACTGGAATAAGAAAGGGAGTTCCACAGGCGAGAGGTGCGAGATATGAAGCTATTGGAGTAGAAGAAACGGCTACATTTAGTAGTTTCGACAGTGAAAGGGTGATAGCGGATGCCAGCCTCGTAGGGCGCTTGAATTCATGAAGTCTGTGAACCAGCGAATGCAGCTCCTCGGAGCAATTACCATGAAATTTCGTTTCTACAATATAACCTTTCTTTGCTCTCTACAATATATTGTTCCTATAATATAACTATAAATATTTATTTTCTAGAATATAACTTGTATTCGTTTTCTATAATATAATCGTCAAGCATTTATTTCTACAATATAATGTAACTTGCATTAGTTTCTTTAATCGTCAAGCAAAATGCAATATTCTTTCTTCTTAATTCATGTTCTTTTATTATTTCATCTCCTGAATAATGGATTCTTTTCACGCTCAGTAACCTCTTGCTGAATTAAATACTAACATGAATACTCTGTTAATGTTGTTTTCAAACAAATCAAATCGATTTATCTAAGTTCATTAACCTTTTTTCAAATTATTATTAATAAAAAAGTAAATAAACTTAAATTAAGATATATTTAAACATATTTAACTTTTTTTTCAAGCAAAGCTATAGCGAGTCTTACTTCTTCGAAAAATAATTATTTACTATTTATTTTGAAGGGGAATTTAGATTTTTTAAGTAAATAAAGATTACATTAGTGATTATTTTCTTTTTAAAGGAAGTGTAAGAAGCAACCATTTCTCCGTAAATGAATTTAATTACTATTTTGAAAGAGAGTAGAAGTTTAGTTTTGAAAATCGAATATTTAAATTTCAAGTTATATTTGTATTTGAAAAGAAAAGAAAAACTTTAGTTAAATAAAACTTTAGAGAGAGAGACATGACTTACAGCCAACATTAATCATATTTGTTTTATGAATTTAAATATATTTTATTTAAATTAATTTTCGAAAAAATACGGATCGCAATAGTTTTTTGCTTTGAAAAAAAATTAATTTAATAATTTAAAATTATTTATTTTTATATGTTAGTTACAAACCAAAAAACAATGAAGTTTTTTTTTAAACATTGAATAAAAATTATTTTCCATAAGAAGGCCGAAAAATATTAATAAAACTAAATTTCTTCTTTTAAATTTACTTTGTTGTTTTAATATTCATTTTTTAAAGTTACGCTTTTATTTACTACACATATGGAAATAAATTCAAGAGAATAGAAATTTTTAAAATATATATAGCGTTTCGAAATTATCAGCAGAATTAAAAAGCAAAAACGAACGGAATAAGAATTATTCCCGTTCTTTTTTACTTTTTTAATTCTGAGAATTTCGAACGAACTCTAATGCAATTATTACGTATTTTTAATTTTAAAATATCTTCCTAAATACAGATAATAAGATTTTATAAAAAGTTTGTTTGGGCCATACTGAGTCTGTATATATATTTATTTTATCGTTCTTTATTGTAGTTTTTTTTTAAGCCAGACACACACAGACACATACAGACAACAGCCCTTTATATATGTATAGATTGTTTCCTATTTTATTTTATTAAATTCTATTTGTGTAAATGGTTTATGTCGTATGAGAATTACGTAAACTACTTTATATTTGTATTTTTTTCAGTAACCTTCCACACAACACAGTTCTACAAGCGCTTCCCCTGCAGTTTATGCTTCTGGATGACCAGGCTGTCTTCATGAGGGTCTTCGTATCTGTGACTTCATTGCGCCCCCTACGGACTTATCTTCACGCTGAAGCCATCTCACTCATTGTCGTCAAACATAAAAATGGGCCTATGACGCTAGAAGTAAACAAATTATGCTTTTATTATGCTTTTTTAACTATTTATACGATTGCAAAAGTCTATATTTTCATTAAATCGACAAGTCGAAATGCGCGCAGATGAAAAATACAACTCTTCTCTAAAAGACGTTGCTTAAATTTAAAGCAAGTGTTGGAGAAAAATGACTATTTATCTCAGATGGTATCTCAACATGAGGTAATGGTTAAGGAGTTTCGTCTGGTTAAACATTACAGCTAAGTAACCAGCTCGATTCTCCTTGGGTAACTCAAACTTGTGGGCTTGCGCCAAAATAAGCTTTAACCTTAGTGGATGACGACAGTTCATACTCTCGTGCCAAAAGTTACTGAGTAACTCTGCTTAGTATCGTTGTAAGACCTCTCTAGGCCGGCGAAGTGCGGCAACTCAACGCAGCATCGATTATAAAAGTACTCGGAAGATATTTGCAGAAATGTAGCAATGGTGTCTTTCCGCAATAAATAAACAATATATATGAATATATATATATATATATATATATATATATATATATATATATATATATATATATATATATTTGTAATGTAAATCTATTTAAAAGTCAGTAGGTGAAAAAACTTGCATAGCACAATTTTTTAAATAAAATGGCATCCGTGGAAAATGAGGAAAAAAGAAAGTACGAGAAACCTCCGAACAGAACGTAAAAATCGTCCAGTACTTTAAATCTCTGGTACAAAAGAAAACAGCTCGATATATATATATATATATATATATATATATATATATATATATATATATATAGAGAGAGAGAGAGAGAGAGAGGCGGCCTGACGATTTGCGTCCAATATGAAACAGCCTGTCGCCTGTTGACTTTTTTATATATATATATATATATATATATATATATATATTATATATATGTCCAAATGTAATGAGAACGAAAAATAATATATAAATTCTAACGTTCACAGCATTAATTCAAAAGAAGTCTCAATACCGATAGTAGAGCAATAAACATTTCTTCTCACCAATCGAGGTACAATTAAATGTACCGAAACGAAGTTGCATCTTTGTCGTGAGTAAATTGTTTTTGTCTATATGAAAAATTATAATATATATATATATATGTATAAAGATAGATAGATAGATATGAAAATTCGTATTTATTAGATATTGAATTGTATCACTTCATGTCCATGAACTTACCTGACTTTTCCGTTAAACTGATAAATATTCATGAGCACACTTATAGCTAAAAATTTTGGAAAAACATTTTTTCTCTTGTATATAAATAATTCTCACAAAATAAAATCATTACATTTGCCCTGATAAAGTCCCTCAGAGAAAGAAAAACGTCGGCTAAAATAAGTTTTCCTTTTGTTTTTATTCATAGATAGATAGATAGATAGATAGATAGATAGATAGATAGATAGATAGATTGCACAAATAGACAATTATTACGTCCGAGATGACTAGAGTTGTTCTGTAGGATCTCATTTGTAATGCTTGGATTATATGCTGTAATTCTCCTAGTAATATCTCCAAGATTCGATTGTTGTACAAAAATATTTGGCACGCCAATGCACGAAACAGGCTGATCTCTGATTTCAAGCAGCTGCTCTTGTCTTTCTAGATTTGTTCTTAGTTTTGCCATTGTTTGCGCTGCACTTGAAGTTGTTTCTTTACTGGGGGGGGCCTTTTTCGTTGATAATCGAGCCAAAATATTTGAATCGTTTCACTACTTTGGCACAAGCACTTTGATGCATAAAATGATATTGAAAAAGGACCCCCAATCAGATATTAAAAACATGAAATCTCCCAACATTTACAAACTTGGGATGTTCTGAAAATTATTCGCATGTTAATTGTTGAATTGAATCACTGGCTGAAGTAAATGCATTTATTTTTATTTTTCTAGAACTCCAGCAAAACAGTAAAACTGTGGCATGTTTTGCAAGATGTCAATCGCACACACGGCCCAGCAGCAGCAGAGAAGCTTTTTACACGACTTAAAATTGAAATAATTTCCCTACTGATGTTATCAGAAACGCTTGTCACCCAATCAACTGCAAACCGAGCCAACAACACCTTGTAAGTACAATCCACTGTTTCAGTCTTCATGTAAACACACTCAGACATCATATTTCGAGTACATACTAGGCTGATTAGCAATTGTATAAAAACATAATGCATAGCAGCAAAAGGAACAAAACAAAAAATGCCAATTACAAATTGCAGATACCAAAATCAAGCATGTACAAAAATTTAAATATCTAGGGAGAATCTGCAATGTTATTGGTCCTCACCTGACATCTCGGCTCCAGTTACTTTCCCATCAACGCAACGTAACTTCCTTGTATGCTTTCCATAAATACGTTTATGGGAATTGTTCTGATGAACTTTACTCTGTAGTACCTAGACTTTATGAATTACTAGACTGACGACAAGGTTTCATCATTTTACATTGAAAATGTCAAGATGAAACCGTAAGTTCTATGTGAACAGTTTCTTCTCCCACACTTCTCACTTGTGGACCTCTCTTTCGGCTTCTTGCTTCCCAGTCAATCGTTATCTTATGTTTTAATTCTTGTTCAGTACTAGATTGGCGGCAAGGTCTCGCCACTTTACAGTTGAAGTGGCGAGATGTAACTGTAAGCTCTATGCTAACAGGTTTTTCTGTCTCACTTCTCGCTTATGGAACTCTCTTCCGGCTTCTTGCTTCCCAATCAAATCTGATCTTCAAAAATTCAAATGCAATGCCAATCGTTATCTTTCGTCTTAATTCCTGTTCTTTTATTGTTCTCTCTCCTTTATAGTATTTTCTCATATTCTCTTGCACTAAGAAAGCCCTTGTGTTTTAGAGGCCCAAATGTGTTTTAATAAGAATACAACACCGAAAATCGTAAGCACATTGAGGTAACGAAAGATGCCTTTCAAAAGATAAACAAAGGATTAAGTAACAGGAAAATTTCGTTAGAAAAAAAGAAAAGAATGTATTATGAGTTTTTCTATGTGGAAGAAAATGGTGGACAAAAGATGTGTGGTTCTACAGAAATGGATAGAACATGTGAAAAACCAAGTTTTATAGAAAAATGAAACAAAAATGCCATTTATACTTAGAATGAGAAAGAGAGTTGAAAAGGAACATAATGAGGAAAGATGGTTTAGAGAATTCGACACATACAGGGCAGATTGAAGGCAAGAGGGATAGAGTAATACAACACATAACCTACCTAACAAGCTTATGTAAATGCCTGGCAGAACAGGGATTAGGAGTGATAACAAAAAGACAAAATTTATTAAGAACTATAAAGGTCAGGAAGTTGTGGAGAGCCATGATCGCGCACGTCCTGAAGGAATACGATACATTATGGTCATACTGACAAACTATCAATCTAAAACACAGCACACATAGCCTGAAGATTGTGTTGAAGCATGAAACAGACTGTCGCTGTTCGGTGTTGACCTCAGTGTCGTCTTTTATATTTACATACGTTCTCTCTCTGATATTGATCCATTTTACCGATAAATATAGTATAACATAAAACTATATTTTTATAATATATATATATATATATATAAGTGAACATTGAAATCAACACTCAGAGTAGCAGTTTCACCGTAGACGCAATCGTCAGGCCGCCTGTAATAACATCTGGTTGAAATAGCTATTCTTATGATGTAATTTTGAAATTTCTCAATTATGTAACTTATATGGTCTGTTATGATAAATGCATTGAGCTCTTTTTGTGGATCAGTTTTACTATTTTATATTATTAGGATTCACTTGGATTATATACCAACGCATTATTACCTGTCTGTATATATTATTTACTCTACTCTGTATTGAGCACTTTTTTAAGAATACTATTTTTTGGTTATTGGAATTTATTCCGTATACACCAATCCTATACTTGGTTATATATATATATATATATATATATATATATATATTGGAAAACGGTATATAATCTTATTATATATCAAGAACAATTTTATAAAGAATATAAAATTTAGAAATTTCAGCATCCCCACTTCTTCATGCGCATGTGTAGTCACATCAACGTAAATGTCACAAGAAAAAATTTGATTTTGTCATATTACTTGAACATGATATTAAATCATATTGCATAATAGACTTGTATATAATGATTCACTAAGCAAAGCTTAGATGTGACACAGGACTAAAGAAGACCTACCCATTGAGAATCGAACTCACTACTCAGTAATAATTGATATGACGAGACCAGCTTACTAACCATTACACCACGTCGAAGTGCTCAATTTTTCTTGTATATATCGATCAAGTATTTATGAACACCTTTTCTAATCTTTCTGTCTTACACGTACAAATACAGACACATACAAATGTACTTCGTATCTGCGAGATAGCACACACTTCATATACTTACATGGGAATAACAATTCAAAACCTATTTACTCGAATACAATGTCGTAGAATAAGGATTGGACACTACTGAATATCTATTCTCTGCACTTAGGCTTAAATTTACATTAATTCCTGCCATTTTTCCGTAAACAAGCATCTTTCTCCAAAATTGTATTTCTAAATTGCAATAATGACAACTGTGCGACTTGTATTCAGTTTCACGTGGCATTCCATTTTGTTTTATATAAAATTTAATGACTGTTCTAAATAAGACATTAACCCTCTCACTGCTATATTGTCATACCATTGTGTTTCCTTGCTGCGCTGTCACGTTTTGGGGAAATAAAAAGCAATAAAAAAGCTGAGGCGACTTCATACAGACGCCGTTATTTTCTTTCGGTCGGATACTCTGCAGTATCTTCGTCGGCACCTCTCGTGTCCGAGTTTGGTTCATCCGGGGCATTCACGACTCCAGAACCCAACATGTCTCCGGAGGCCAAGTTGGGAATGGAACTGTATCGAGCATTGATCGCATGGTAGAGCGAATGATTGTCTTGGAGCTGAAGCCGCCTGGTCTTGCATTGTCTTCTTTTTTTTTTTTATTTCCTCTCCAGTTTTTCTCCTCTCCTCAAAAGTGGAACCACCAAAATTATTTGCTCTTCGCCAAGCTAGACGGTCAGTGGCTTCTATTTTTCAGGGCTGATTCCGTCTTGAATGTGGAAAAACTTCAGTTGGTCTTTGATTCTTCGTTTTTGCGTTCCACGATGTCGTTTGTCGTTGACGAACCCGCTGTAAAGGATGATCCGCGGGAGTTTTGAAGGGGGCATTCTGGTGACATGTCCTGACCACTTGATGTTTGAGGATGGTGGCTTTATTGATCGGCATTTCTGAGCGATTGGGGACTCCGTTGTCGGTGCCTTCGGTCTTGCCATTCGATCTGCAAGAGCTTGGTTTGTTGGAAAGCTTTTTCCAGGTCGTTTCGACACAGGCTCCATGTCTCGCAATGTGGAGATAACAACGGCGCTGAATATCATGAGTTTTGTTCGGAGGGAGAGTCCGCGGTTGTTGAATACGCGCTTGCTGAGACTTCCGAAGGCCCAATGAGCGTACTTGATGCGATGGACAATGGATTGTGAAAGAACGCTGCAGAGTTACTGAAAATCGTTGACAAATTCCAGACAACTTCTGCAGTATAGACTAAACTAAACAACACACAATATAATAAATTATGTCACAAAACAGGTCTAATTGTAATCTACTATATATCTACGGTAGTTTGGAAATAGTATTACGCGCTAGATCGACATTTGACGAGGTCTAGAAAACGTATATATCCGTCGACAGCAGGTAAAGTAAGTTTTGGAACGACGTATAATTGCGTCCACAGCAGCGGAAGTATTAATATCGTATGACTCATTCAAGATGGCGGCTACACATTAACCATGAGAATAGAGCCACGTGTTGCAATCACGTTAACAAATTTGTGCCATTTAGAATAGAATAATTATACTTTGAATAAATCGGTTTAATTCCACATCTGTGAATTACTTGGAATCAACCGTCTTCTATGGCTATTAATAACATTACTGAACGATCAATGATCTTCAGACTATCACTAAGTCTGCATCAAATAATCTAGATTGTCTAATGATCTTTTGTGAAATATACTGGAGCGTTCGTTATATCTTGACTGCCTTAATCTATATATTGTATTTTAAAAGTTCTTTTCTATGTTCGCTAGCCTTTTGAATTTTCCAATTCGCTTTAAAATCTACCGTTAATCTCTTTCTCGTAATCTGCTTTTCGATATTGTTATCTTCGTGTTGTTTCTTTGGATAATCTATCGAAATTTGGTATCTGGCAACTTTCGCACGATATTTTGAAGGAGATTACATTGCTGCGACAACCGCAGGAAATTCGTTTTCCGATTTTCACTCTCCTCGTGTCGACATTCAGGATCTTGCTCCAAGTCATTTGCACTCCGTGTGAATCGTAATAACACAGTTGCTGTAGATATACATAATGCGCGTAATTACAAGAAAAATATAATCTGTCAATGACGCCATCAGTATAAACGCGGCTCATATTCAGTTTATTATATGCGATCCTATTCGGACAAGCATTCTCATCTTGCTCGTTATACTAGCATCATCATCATCGTCATCATCATCATCATAGTCTCATGACATTGGGTGGTCGTATGGTCTCTGCGCATCTGAGCACCTAACCAGATTCTTCCACATATCTGGGTCGAAAGCCGAAAACTTATTAGCGTATCTTGGGTAAGTAGACCTGGCGGAGCCCATCACTCTCCAGGTCAAACCACGACCGATGTCCTACAACTTGAAATTTTTGCCTTAGTTACGAACACGTTGCTGTTCATTTCTTGGTCATTGACGCCCTCCGCCCAGTGATGGAGTGTCATCATCGCATTGACTGAATCCATAGCTATAGAACCCATTCTGCCCTGTTAGGCTAGATGGCCGTTGACTCTATAAGAACGTTCATCCACCCTTTGACAGGTGATTTTTTTATCCTGCTGGGTGTCTATCCAACTTCCTCGCCATAAAACACCGTTAGGAAAATCAGTACAGCCAATGATACAGCAGGTAATATTGGTTTACATGGTACCAGTAGAACTTGTAAAACGACCTGACATAATTATACACAAAACGTAAATAAATAAATTCAGTTGTCGGAC